ATAGGGTATGTACATCTTTAACTTACTAAAGTCCAACTGACTTCCACAGTATTTCTATCAGTTTAGACAATCAACAGTAGTGATGAACGTTATTACTTAGCATCCTTGCCAATAATGAGTACTTCTTGTCTTTTTAATTTTAGCAATTTTGGTGGAAGATCAGTAGCATCTAATTACAGGGTTGGTTTGCATTTTCCTAATTTCTAATAAGGTTGCTTGCTGTAGTTGTTTTAAAGTATGTCCACAGGGGCGCCTGGGTGGCTCAGTCAGTTGAGCGTCTGACTCTTGGTTTTGACTCAGGTGATGATTTCATGGGTCATGAGATCAAGCCCAGGGACAGGCTCCCCGCTCAACAGGGAGTCTGCTGGAAGTTTCTCTCCCTCTGTCCCTACCCTGCACGCACGCACTCTCTCTCTCTCTCTAATAAATAAATAAATCTTTAGGGGCGCCTGGGTGGCTCAGTCGTTAAGCGTCTGCCTTCGGCTCAGGTCATGATCCCAGGGTCCTGGGATCGAGCCCTGCATTGGGCTCCTTGCTCATTGGGGAGTCTGCTTCTCCCTCTGACCCTCCCCCCTCTCATGTGCTCTCTCTCTCTTTCAAATAAATAAATAAAATCTTAAAAAATAATAATAATAAAGTAGGTCCACAAACTCTGTGGCACTCCTGTCATCAGGAGGTGGTCCAAATACCCTCTCCTTGCCTGGGGGCCATACTGACTGGCTTCTAACCAACAGAGTGAAGCAGAAGAGACACTGGTGACCTCTCAGGCTAAACATTTTCTGCCAGTCTCCCGTTCTGTCTCATAGATGTCATAGGCATAGAAGTTCTTTCTATATTCTGTATTTTCGTGCTAGTCCTGTATAAGTTATTAATGTTGCAAATATCTTCTCCCATTTTGTGACTTAGATTCATTCTTTCATAGTGCTTTTTGATGAACAAGTTCTTCGTTTCACTTATTCTTAAAATACTGTGTAAATTTAATCTCATTAAATTTATCCATTTTTCCTGTTTAGTACTGTTGTGTCTTATTCCTTATTCCTACCCAAAAGTCTGCAGTATATTTATTTATATTCTCTTCTAAATGCTTTAGACTTTTGCCTTTTACATTTCAGCATTAATGTACCTGGAATTCGTTTCTATGTAGGGCGTATTATTTTTCCATATAGATATCTAATTATGCCAGCACAATTTATTGAAAAGTCCTGCCTTTCCATACTCTTCTGTATCCCATTTATTAAGTACAAAATGTGCTCCTTTTTTGTTCCATTGGTCCATTTGTCTGTCCTTGCACAAATACCACCCTGTCTGAGTTGATAAGGTTTTAGATGAAGTTTGGTTTGTTTTTTGGTTTGTTTGTTTGTTTGTTTTGAGGTAAAATTGGTATATAACATTAGTTTCAGGTGCACTGCATAATAATTTGTATTTGTGTACCACACAAAGTTTTCACCACACTAAGTCTAGTTACCCTGCCTCATCATCCAGTTGATGCCATTCACCGTCCTCCGTCCCCCGCCCCTCTGACAACTACCAGACCTCTGAGATTCCTCCTGTGTGTGTCTGCCCCCCAGAGGTGGGGCTTTGGTGAGACTGCATCTCTACCTCTCCTACCCATCTGTGACGGCCTTTTTATCCCTTGTTGTGGAGGGAGTTGTTCGGCTCTGTCTCACTTCTTTTTCCATGGGTATCATTACTTTGGCTTCCAGGTAAGCTGGACGGAAACAAATGTTCCAATTGCTCGGAGATTTGAGTGGCGAGCACATGAGCACGCAACAGCAACAAACCTTCACCTGGCTTGAAGCCAGAGTTAGATTTCCTTTGTAATGTGTTTGCTTTGGGGGTGTCCCGACTCTCCTTCATGCTCAGATCTGGGCACATCACTCAGAAAGAAAGGCCTACTCAAAGTTAATGAATGAAGAAATTAGCTCAATTCCCCGTTTTGGTTGGGGGGCAATCTCGCACATGCTGACCATGGCCTGCACCTTCCTTCCGAGAGTGTGCCTGGCCTACACTTTCAGCTTTCTACTTCCTGCTATTGAGCTACTCCACCGGGACATCTAAGCTGCCCGCCGACCTTCCAGACTGAATTCATGGCCCATGAGCTTATGAAACCAGGTCATTTTCTATTGCAATTTAACTGATGAGGAACACAATCACCCTAAGATCTCTGCTGGCTGTTTATTACCATTCTCCCCTTTTGAACTATGTCTGACTTTGCTCCTTCTCTGGCTCCAGTACATGAAGTCGTATGACCCATTTATGGCCAATGGGATAGGAGTAAAATAATGCACAAAACTTCCAGGTCATACCCCCACTGGAAAAGAGATGTCTTTACACTTCTGCTAGTTTGAAAAGGGACAAGGTACCTGGATGTCAGACAGAAACACACATCAAAGATGGTGGAGTGATATGACTGAGAGCCTGTGTTCTCACATCTTGGCATTTTCCTGCCCAGGTAAGCCTGGGTTGCTTATGTCCACAGTCTGGATGACCACTGCTCTGGGCCTGTTATAAGAGATACCCATAATCCTAATGGAAGCAACCTCTTTGAATACAGAGTCAAACCTGGCTGCTAAGGGGTCAATAAAGAAAATCAACTATGTATAACAACCTCAGTATGTTAAAACTCTCAGGTAAAGAGAAAATGGAAGCAGTGACCTTACATTTATAAAAACTAACGTGTTTCTATTGTAAACAGAGACGGGGAATTGATATTTAGCAGAGACCAAAGTGAATGAGTGATTCAGGAAGTGAGCAGTTATCTTCAAAGCAAGCTATGGAAGAAAATGCCAGAATAACTATGGGTGAAAGTCCGGTATCCATAACTGAAATCCAGTGGCAACTTGCTGGAGAAGATTGAGGATGTCACATTAAAAAAATCCCAGGATAGTGGTGTTAAGTATAGACATTAGAAATTATTGCGGAGAACCATATCCTATTTGAAAATAGCTATATGAAGAAGAAAAAAAAAAGGACTGCTGTACAGTATCATTTTTTATTTTATTATAATCACTATACATTTTCATTTGTTTTAATTAGTTTTTTTTAAGTTTTTATTTATTTATTTATTTGACAGAGAGAGACGAAGCGAGAGAAGAAGCACAAGCAGGGGGAGTGGGAGAGGGAGACGCAGGCTCCCCGCTGAGCAGGGAGCCCGATGCAGGATTTGATCCCAGATCGTGACCTGAGCTGAAGGCAGATGCTTAACCAACTGAGTCACCCAGGCGCCCCTAGTTTTAAATATATATATTTTAAAAAGTAAGTGTGGTTGTGTATTCATGAACTGAACAAAACAGAGTTCGAAGAGTCATCTTGCAAATGAGATAAAGCACGTGTGTTCATCATGGTCTTGTTACTACAGCACGCTTCCTCAGTCAGTGAAGATTTACTGAGCATCAACTCTATTTCTACTTCTACTTAGTTTCTGTGAAGTTATAAAACTCTAAGGTATGGATCCTACCTTTAAGGTGATTACTGAACATCAAGGAACCACTAAGTACTAAAGTCCATGTGAATAAATGCTACAGAAATTCAAAGAAAAAAGAAATGAGTGCTGGGGCGCCTGGATGGCCCAGTCGCTAAGCGTCTGCCTTCAGCTCAGGTCATGGGATGGAGTCCCGCATCAGGCTCCCTGCTCAGCGGGGACCCTGCTTCTCCCTCTCCCTCTGCTGCTCCCCTTGCTTGTGTTCTGTCTAATAAATAAATAAATAAATAATCTTAAAAAGAGAGAGAGAGAGAGAGAGAGATGAGTGCTGAAAGCAGCTGATGAAGGTGAATCATCATCATCCAAGACTATGTATGTGCTAAATCATAAAATGAAGTTTGAGAGGCAGAAATTAGGAAGGTAAATAAGGAGGGTATCCTGATTGCAGTTAGCATATGGTCAAATTGTTGGGAAGTCGAAGAGAAAGTGGGAACTGCCTGGCTGAAATGTATCTCAAAGGGAGAGTGGTGTTTGCCGTAAGGGGAAACAGGCTGAGAAAGCAACAAAAAAGTCATAAAGTAGCAGCTTTACGATAGTCTCTTACTCTTACTTGTGCTCATAGTTTTTAAATCCATTGCATAATTCACTAAAGTAGGCTCCTTTTCCAAAACCATTAAATTTGTTTAGTTATCAAATGCTTTTAAAAAATAGTTTGATTATAAAACAATGCATAGGCATTACAGAAAACTTGGAAAAGATTAACTGGTCAACTTAAAATCATAGGTTTCTGAGATAAATCTTCATATTTTCAGGCTATTATCTCTGTAATCACAGGACAAAGACAAGAGACCAGCAGACTTTTCTAGATGTATGGGATCTCAAGATTTATTCTCATTCACATGGTCTTGACATGTTTAAGGTATGGAAACAACAAACGCATTTTCCAATTCCATCTTTTCTTGGTAATCTGCTCAAGACTTTAGAACTGTTTTCTAGTTCCTTTTCACCCGGGACATGATAGTGACCAATTCAACTTAAGAGAGAAAATTTATATTGCAATATTAAATTTGGGTGGATTCTAGGTAAGCCAGCCTTTACCAACAATTTGATTCATTCTTTTTGAGAATTTATCAAACACCATATTCTTAATCAAGGCCCCAAACTTCCTACTGCAATAATTAGCATAATTTATACTATTTTATGTCTTAATCTCCTTGAATACTCATGGTATGTTTAATTTTGGAGGACCAATACAAAGGTAATAAATAGCATGTAGTCTCTATCTTTATTGAATTCCTAATAACTACTACATCCTCACATTGTAAATCAGACCTGTTGGAGAATAAATAAGTCACAATTTGAGAGTCACATCTCTAAAAACCTGCATTGGTAATAAATAAAATAAATGTGGATCTCAAAGATCAATTAATCAGGCCTTCCAATTTTTTAGGTGAGTAAATTAAGGCATGAAGAGGTAAAGTGACTTACCCTAAAGTAAGTAATAGACCTAGTTGGTAACAGAGCTGAGATTGGAACCCAGGACCTTTAAAACCCAGATATGGGCACCTCCCACTAAACCATGTGGCCACTCTAATTAACAGTTTTCATGACCCTCCTTCTGTTTCCCTGAGAAGGGTCTCCACAGTAGCCAGACTCTCAAGGCATTCAGAGGACTTCTCTCCAGTGCGAGATTTTTCATGTCGAATAGAAGAGTTTTGTCTAAATGTTTTCCTACACTCAGTATGTATATTTGGTTTCTCCCCACTATGAATTTTCTGGTGTTTTGTAAGATATGTGCGCTGGCTGAAGGCTTTTCCACATTCATTACATTTGTAGAGTTTCCCTCAGTATGAGTTTTCTGATGTTTTTTAAGATCTGTCCTCTGGCTAAAGGCTCTGCTACATTTACTCCACTCATAAAGTTTCTCTCCAGTATGAATGATTTGATGTTGAATAAGGCCTGAGCAGTAACTAAAGGCTTTTCCACGTTCACTGCATTTACAGGATTTTTCACTAGAATGAGTTTTCTGGTGATTTCTAAGGCTTGTACTCTGACTGAAGGCTTTTCCACATACGTTACATTTATAGGGCTTCACTCCAGTGTGAGTTCTCTGATGTTGAATAAGTGCTGACCTATCACTAAAGACTTTTCTGCAGTCATTGCATTTATAGGGCTTCTCTCCAGTATGAATTCTCTTATGTTGAATAAGAGCTGAACAGAAATCGGAAGCTTTCCCACAATCATTACATTCATAGGGCTTCTCTCCAGTGTGAGTTCTCTGATGCTGAATATGCCCTGAGCGATCGCTGAAAGCTTTCCCACATTCATTACATTTGTACGGTTTTTCTCCGGTATGAACCCTCATGTGTTGTGTAAGGAATGAACTCTGGGTGAAAGTTTTCTCACATTCATTACATTTATATGGTTTATCACCTGTATGACTTCTCTGATGTTGAGCAAGGTATGTCCTTCTGCTAAAGGTTTTTCCACATTCCTTACATTCATAGGGCTTCTCTCCAGTATGAGTTCTCTGATGTCGAATAAGAGCTGAGTAGTTACCAAAGGCCTTCCCACATCCATTACACTCATAGGGCTTCTCTCCAGTGTGAATTCTCTGATGGTGAATAAGGGCTGAACGATCACTAAAGGCATTCCCACATTCACTGCATTTGTATGGTTTCTCTCCAGTATGTGCTCTCTGATGTTGAATGAGGTCTGAACAGTAACTGAAAGCTTTCCCACAGTTATTACATTCATAAGGTTTCTCCCCAGTGTGGACGATATGATGTCGAATAAGAGCTGAGTGATCACTGAAAGCTTTTCCACAGTCATTACATTCATAGGGCTTTTCTCCCGTATGAATTCTCTGATGTTGAGTACGATGTGCACTCTGACTGAAGGTTTTACCACATTCGTTGCATTCATAAGGCTTCTCTCCAGTATGAATTCTCTGATGTAGAGTAAGATGCGTGCTCTGGCTAAAAGCCTTTCCACATTCCAGACACTTATAGGGCTTCTCACCTGTGTGAATTCTTTGATGCTGAGTAAGGTATGTGCTACGACTGAATGTCTTGCCACATTCGGTACATTCATACGGTCTCTCCCCACTATGAATTCTCTGATGTTGAGTAAGGACTGAGCAATAACTGAAGGACTTCCCACATTCATTGCATTTGTAGGGCCTTTCTCCTGTATGAGTCTTCTGATGGTTTGTTAGGTGGGAACTCTGGTTAAATCCCCTTCCACATACATTACATTTATAGGGTCGCTCTCCAGTATGAGTCCTTTCGTACTGAACAAGAGCAGTGTGGTCTCTGAAGGTTTTCCCACATCCACCACATTTACAAGGTTTCTTTCCATCACACTTCCTTTGTATAATTAACTCTGAGTTTTGTTTGAAGATTTTCCCATGTGTACCATGTTCATGAAAACACTCTTGTATAAGATCACTCTGTTCTGAAACTATTGATTGTAGAGTGAAAACTCTTCCAAATTCATTAGATTCTGTATCTCCTTCTTTGGCAGGAATTTCCATACAGGTGACTTTATCGTGTCCCAGATACTTCTCCTGGTGTAAGTGCTGATTCTTAAACTGTTCTCTAGACTCCCAGGTATCTCCCAGTAGAGACTTTCTCTTTTTAAGTTCTTCTGTGTTTATTCCTCGGGATGGGCCTTCTTTGAAAATGTCCTGCAGTTCTACTGTTGATTTCTTGGCTTTAGGTCCAGACTTGCCACCTAAAAGACATAAAAATACAAATCCACTATGTGTCCAAAGCTGGAAGAAGAGAAGCTGTTCTGTGAGGAATGGGGTAATGAAATTGTAATACTGAGAACATACAACACGGGGGATATAAATGTAACCTAGTAATCCAGGGAGGGGTTAGCTGGAAATGCTAGTGGTGTGAAAGGGTCTGATTTAAAACAAAGTAATCAAAGAGAATGGAACAGACATTGTCAGGAGAGAAGGTGATTTGGGAAAAGGCTAAATTGTAGAGATTAGAAAAGAGAAAAACATGACGATGAGCGGGTATTAAGAAAGGAAAGCTGTTATCAAAGGAAAATGGCTTTTATGGAGTCTTCTGTGAGAAAACTTACTTAATCAACATTTAAACTATTATCCTAAAGCCCATTAAGAGCTCTTTAAATGTCTCTTTAAAAAAACCTTTTCTTTTGGGGCACCTGGCTGGCTCAGTCAGTGGAATATGCGACTCTTGATCTCGGGGTTGTGAGTTCGAGCCCCATGTTGGGTGAAGAGATTACATAAAAATAAGATCTTTGAAAAAAAACAAACAAACTCTTCTTTTAAATTTGGTTTTTCGACTTACACAAAGCAATACCCTTACCTATTCCCTCTTTGTTGAATAACTGCTGCTGACATTATTGCTTTACATTTAATGAAAGAAGAGCAGAAACCAGGTCTAAAGAAAAAAAGGTTGAAAAGGGAGAAATTTACTTTTTTGAAATGAAAAATAATTCTCAAGGCTTTCCAATGATATGTATTTCTTTTTACTCTCAGTCATGGACAGAAAAGATAAGAAACATTAATCATAGAGGACAAAGAGAGATGACCCTTCTTTTTGTGTGTCAGCATATCTAGAAGTTGTCTTTAACTATGGGTTCATACTTAAGAGTGAGTTACTAATATGTTGATTGAAAGTTAAGTGTTTGTGTGTAAGGACATAAGGAACGGGTTTCACTGCAGGATTACTGGGCAGGGGCCTGGCTGTTTCATTAGATGACCCCCCAAATGTTGGCACCTATAGCATTTTATTTTGGGCTGATTAGTTTCCCCAGAATGAAATACTTCGACCTTGTACTTGGGGAGGAGGTGGTATGTGGAAGCCTGACTGCCCATCTTCTGAGTCAACTGAAAGGAAGAACTGGGGGGAGGGTCTCTCTATTCAGTGAGTAGTTTTTTTTTTTTTAAAGATTTTTATTTATTTGAGAGAGTGAAAGCGAGAGAGATCACAGAGGGAGAGGGAAGAAGCAGACTCGCCGCTGAGCGGAGAGCCCCATGTGGGGCTCAATCCCAGAACCCTGGGATCATGACCTGAGCCAGAGGCAGAAGCTTAACTGACTGAGCCACCCAGGCGCCCCAGTGAGATTTTTTTTTTTTAAAGATTTTATTTATTTAGACAGAGCATGAGCAGGAGGAGGGGTAGAGGGAGAAAGAGAATCCTCAAGCAAATTCCCTGCTGAGCTCAGAACCTGACACAGGGCTCGCTATCACCACTCTGAGATCATGACCTGAGCCAAAATCAAGAATCAGCCTCTTAATTGACTGAGCCACCCAGATGCTCAGTAAATAGTAGATTTTCACTTAAACATCTGTTTTTGGTGTGAACCCCAGATCATAGCATGTAATAAGCAAACATTAAACATGAGGAATTATTTTATTAACTGTACTTCTAACATTCAACACTCAGTCCTCATTTAACTAGTTTATTATTGCTTCTCCTGCCCCCAAAGCCTTTCTTGCCTTCCTTATTTTGCCCAACTAATTCTTGACCATATTTTAGAGCCCCACTCAAATTACACTAGTCCCATGACATTCCTAACTCCCGTTTTCCTGATCTCCCACAGTATTTACTGTACTGTTTTAACTTCTAATTTTAGTCCTTAAAAGCAGTGCCTTATACTGGTTATCCATTATGTCACACACATATGTGTGTGCATATGTGTGTCTCCTGAGTTAGCGTTTCATGTCTTAGAGGAAGGAAACTTGAATGACTTTTGTGGGTGTGGAGTTAATACTTAGTGAGTTTATGCCAAGCTGACTCACAATATTGGCATAGTTAATCCTCCTAACAAGCCTGGGAAATGGAAAACAGAACCTTTACTTTGGGAGAGGTTCAGAGTGTTGAAGTCACTTGCCCCAAGTTACACACAAGCCCGAATTCCAGAGTCCAAGGTTCATCTCTACTGCCCTAGGAAACAGATGGAGCAGATGATAAAGGTTAAAGACAGAAAATCCTGAGTTTTAATCCCAGCTTTCTACTGACTATCTGTGTGACATCAGGGGAAGCCCCCCATCTGGCCTCTTTCCAATCCTCAATATCACTTATAGCTTGATTTTTTTTTTCAAATCCTTAAATTCTTCTCAAACTTTTTAGATGCAGGTCCTTAAATGTTTTGATCCATTGCCAACCCAGCCTCACCATTCGTCACTCTGACACGTGCCTTAGATCCAACCACACTGTTTACTTCCGAGCTGTTTATCAAATTTCTCACATCTCCCGGCCTGTGTTGATCTTTTCTCTAGAACTCCCCTTCTACCACCTACTGTTTGCTGAGCTACTTCCTGCTCATTCTTCAGGATTCAATTCTAACATCATCTACTCTAAGCTCCTTATCTATATTCTTATTGCCTCTATAATAATAAAATGATAAAATAATTGTTCCTATAAATAGTAACAGCTGATATTTAATCATGCTTAGAACCATCAGTGTTTTAAGTACTTTACATGTATCTAATCACTTAATCCCTTACTGGAACTCCAGGAGGTAGAAGCTATTATTATCTTCATTTTATGAATGAGGAAAAGGGGCATAAAACTGTACAGTCCCATGCAGTAACCTCCAGCCACATGTGGCGGCCGAGAACTAGAAATATGCCTACATCAAACTCAGCTGTACTGCAAGTGTAAAAATATATACCAGATTTTGAAGATTCAAGGAAAAAAGGGAAAATATCTCAGTAATAAAGTTTTATTTTGATTAATCGTTAAAATGTTTTAGGCATATGGGATTTGATAAAAATATTCTTAAAATTAATTTTACCTCTTTTTTATTGCTTTTCTCAGGCATGACTAGTAGAAAATTTAAAATTACACATGTGGGTTGCATTTTAGTTCCACTGGCCCACGCTGGCTTTGAGAGATTAAGACATTTGTGCAAGGCTGCAGAGCCAGTATGTGGCAGAGCCAGGATTGAACCCAGCCTCAGAGCCCCCTCTTCACCACTTCTCCCATGCTGAGTCTGCATTACTCCATCACAGCACTCACCAGTGTATTTACTAACCTCTGAGCTTCCGGAGATTAGAGACTAGAGTCTTTAACCTCTGAGCCCTCGGCTCCTGGCACAGTGTCTGGTACATAGAATATGCCTGATGAATGTCTGGTGAGTGGACAGATGCTTTCTTCTGAGAATGCCACAATGACAGCAGGGTTTTTATTTTTGTAAGATTTATTTATTTTAGAGAGAGAAGGAGAGAGAGTAGGGGGAAGGGCAGAGGGAGAGAATCTTCAAGCAGGCTCCCCGCTGAGTACGGAGCACAACATGGGGCTCGATCCCATGACCCATGAGATCACAGCCTGAACTGAAACCAAGAGTCCAACACTCAACCAACTGAGCCACCCAGGCGCCCTGACAGCAGTTTTTCAAGATTAGTCTGGCCACCCTTTGTTTTTGCACCTAAACCCTGGAAATTATTTAAAGAAAGAGGTAAGATAAAGCCACCACCCTAATATTTGGGACAGTAAATGTTTGATAGTACCTACTTTTCAAATAATTACAGGCATAAGAGCTAAGAGGGATAGTCAACCTGTAAACCATAACCACCATTGAGGAGACAATTTTTCACAGATACCCACTATTAAGAGGCACAAACATGAGGAACCCGAGGAATAATCAGAGAATTAGGCGAATCAGAGCTTCACATTGTCACGCACAACCTGAAAAGATGGTCTCACAAAGGACAGTGCCCTCAATTTTATTTGAGAAGAGAAAAGGGGGTTAAGGAAAGGCCATCAGATTCTTCTGGAAGGAAAGGAGTAATGTCCTTTATAGCATATTTACAATACAGTAGTGAGAGACAAACAAAAATTATAGAACATATAGATATGGCAGGGATGCTGGATTTATGAAACCGGGAATTTAAAGCTACTATGATTGGGGCGCCTGGGTGGCTCAGTCGTTAAGCATCTGCCTTCAGCTCGGGTCATGGTCCCGGGGTCCTGGGATCGAGCCCCGCATCGGGCTCCCTGCTCTGAGGGAAGCCTGCTTCTCCCTCTCCCGCTCCCCCTGCTTGTGTTCCCTCCCTCACTGTGTCTCTCTGTGTCAAATAAATAAATAAAGTCTTTAAAAAAAATAAAAAAATAAAGCTACTATGATTAATGTGGTAAGTGCTCTAATGGATAAAGTAGACAGCATGCAAGAACAGATGGGCAATGTAAGAAGAGCCAAAAAAAAGCAAGAGTTTTTTTTTTTTAAGATGTACTTATTTGAGAGAGAGCACAAGCAGGGGGAGGGGCAGAGGGAGAGGGAGAGAAAGAATCTCAAGCAGACTTGGTGCTGAGTGGGGAGTAAGACGT